ATCTCACCACTGACTCTGATCAGTGTTTCTGTTCTATAAAGTTTATTATCATTGTGATGAGAAATGTAATATTGTGTCTACTCTGTAAGTCGCTTTGGATAAAAGCGTCTGACAAATGCATAAACATAAACAACATAAACATAGACACAATATTACATTTCTTATCACTATGACAATAAGCTATATAGAGGAGAAACCCTGATCAGAGTCAGTGGTGACAGTAATACAGTTGTATATTGCTCTAATTATTTTAGAATACATAATTAAACTACTGATGCCAACATTTATTAAAAATGACATTTAATTTCAAATACAATTATCTATTTGCTAAATATTGTCGCATCGTCTTTCCACCAAATAACAGAAAAGTATGGATAGTGGTATCGATAAAGACTCGGATCGATAAGGAGTATCGATATCAATAAATATTAACCATCCCCCTCCCTGGGCTCCAGGCTCCAGGCTCCTACCTTGGATTCCCCAGGACGTTTCGGGAGCGTATCTGGGCTGTGAGGTGAAGGGCTGCCGCTGAGGCCAGCAGCTCCCGTTTTCTGCCCGCGTCCAGCTGGTGTCCCCTGAAGCCATCGGGATAAACCTCCGGCAGGAAGTTGGTGCTGATGTCGCCAGAGATGAAGCGAGGGTGGGTTATGATTTCCCGCAGCAGGGGGATGTTGTGGGTCACACCTGGAAAAAGATGGAGACAAAATAAAGGCGAAATCCTACTAAAAAAGGTGACTGCGCAGTAGGGGTGGGACGGTTCACAAAATCCACGGTTCGGTTCACGGTTTTGGGTTCGGTTCGGTATCTGTTGATTGTTAGGAAAATCTCTTATGTCTTGTATAGTCAGGTTAAAACTGAAAGAAAAAAGCAGTCTGACATGTGATCCATTATTGTGACAGTCTTAGGTTAACCCTTTAAAGCCTGATCCAAGAATAAAACAAAACAGAAAATTAATTATCTTGGCCTTTTAACAAAATATATATATAAAAAAAAAAAAAAATTATATCAATAATTTATTACTATGCGATAAGTCAAGATTATGTTTTGTGTAGTCTTCTGCCCCCTGTTATCAGGTGTATCTGATTGTGTACAATAGTTTTTACCATTAAATTATGCAAAAGGTGTCAGATGCAAAACATTTCAGAAACCGGATGTATCAGATATGATACGTTTGGCATTACAGGGATAAAAGTAGGTGAGAAAAAGGAGCAGCATGAACCGAACGCAACATACGCGAACCGAACCGAGACAGAACCCAACGGTTCAGACCGTCCCATCCCTGGTGAGCAGACACAATTCCTACCTCTGATCACATAGTTGTCCAGAGCGTCCTCCATTCTGGCCAGGGCTTCAGCTCGTGTGGCTCCATATGTTACCAACTACAAGCACACACAAAGCAGCCAGGAAGTTTTTCCTTGCCTGTGTCGCCTAGTGCTTGCTCATGGTGGGAATTGTTGGGTTTCTGTAATTAACTTCAGAGTAGGTCTGACCTGCTCTGTTTGGAAAGCTGTGAGACAACTGTTGTTGTGATGTGGTGCTATATAAATAAAATTGAATTGAATTGAATGTGAATCCTGTGTTTACAGAAAGGAACTGCAGTCAAATCCATCACTGACCTTTGAAATCATGGGATCATAGTAGATACTGATGTCACTTCCCTCCTCGATGCCGCTGTCTACCCGAACCTGACAACCAGCACAGCAGAGCTCATGTTAGTCAGCATTTCAACACAAAGACATGGATAGAGTTACCATGTTCTGATTTCCAAAAAGAGGACAGTCTGCCTCCTAACGGATCCAGACAGGCTTCTCAGATGTTCATGAACATGCTTTATTAGACCTCAATGGGACAAAAAGAACTTGGTAGTAAAACACAATCTGGAACAACCAGGAACTAAATGATAGCCCTCCTTTAAAAGACATCCATCAAATCAAATCATCTTCTAAATATGACCTCTTCTGGATTAGAAAATAATCTACACTAAGTAGAGATCCTTTTTGTATCTATACACTAAATGGAGATCTTACACGCTAATGCTAATGCTAATGCTAGCACCTTGGCTCCACAGCTCATTTCTAGCAAATGTATCTTAGAAGCCCAGATGAGAATTATGTTGAAAAGGCATCATAAGCTTGAGATGAAGCATGAGTGTCCAATCAGCAAGGCCCAGCTTGACTCAGCCCATTTAAAGTACCGTATTTTCCAATAAGTCTCCGTTTGCGACTTATAAGTGTCTTTTCCTTCTTTATGTTGCATTTTATGGCTGGAGCGACTTGTACTCGGAGCGACTTCTAATCCAGAAAATACGGTAAATACTAAACCCGTAGGAGCCTTTACTCTGAGGAGGAACCAGCCCCTCATGTGGAACTGAGGAGGTACTGGTGGAAAAGGGCCGTCACTCACATTATTCAGGTTAACGGGCTCCTGGTATTGAGACAACCGTCCAATGGAGGGAAGGCCGAAAGACTTGTAGGGATCCTAGGAGAGAGAAGAGAAAAACAAATAGAAAACTTTGCCACTTTTAGCACCTTTAAGTCCTCCACTCAAAGTCTCTGAAATGAATGAAACCTGGATGTAAATAAGCAGAACAGCAGAGTTTTACACAACTGCTCTGGGTGCTAAATGATGGTCAATGCCTGCTTTATGTTTTTAAATGTTTAATCATCTCAAAGTGAGGCAAAGGTTAATTAAATAGGAACATGGAGTTGAATAAAAAAAATGGTTGGACTGGATTGTTAAAACTCGACCTAAGCCTTTATGTCATGGCTCAATGTTCAAGAGCTTAATGTCGAAATTAAGAAAGGTTATAATGCTTCTGTAGCTCAGAAAATGTCACATTATATGAAAAAACAAAGAGTCCAGACATGTTTATGGCCTCAGTGCTCCTTCCAGAGGGCTCAGCTTCTGAGAGCTATTTGCTAAAAGCGGTCAGATTCTGCTAAACGCCATCAAACCCACTCACAGACCTCGGCGTAGACTCGGCTCTCGATGGCCCAGCCGTTGATGGGGACGTCCTCCTGTTTGTGCTGCAGCCGGTAGCCTTTGGCCACCCTGATCATCTGCTCCACCAGGTCCAGCCCAGTGATGCACTCCGTGATGGGGTGCTCCACCTGTGGTCAGAGGCACAATCAGGAGCACAAAGAATGCAACGATCTATAACTTTAATCATATGTACATTCTAACAGTGAGAGACACAGAAATCCAAAGAAAATTCCAGAAAATCACATCATATGAATTTATAAAAATTGGTAACCATCTGATGAGGAAAAATAAGCATTCTTTGTAAGTGGGCAAACTAGGGCTGCAACGATTCGTCGACGTTGTCGACAAAAATCGATAATAGAAAAAGTCGACAATGAATTCCATTGTCGACTTTTGTCACCAGACGTGTTTTTCCAACAGAGTGAGACATCTCACTTAATTACAATCTGCCCAGAGTCACCTGCACAACAGCGTCGCGGTTACAGAAATGGCGGATTCCAACACGCGTACAAAAACTTCCAAAGTTTGGGAGCATTTTATCCTTGATACGAGTAAAAAAATTACGTGCAAGGTTTGCAAAACAGACCTTGCGTATCACGGCAGCACCTCGGTGATGCATGAGCATTTAAAAAGAAAGCATGTTGGGCACTTAAATGAAACGGAGTCTGACTCGCCTCGGTAAGATTTAAGCAACAATAATGCTAATATGTTTTGTCTTTTATGTACGTTATACATTTTCTAAGCGTTTTTTCACTTTAAAAGAGAGCTTTAACGTTATGCCTGACTGTGCCTGACAAACGCATTCTTATTTACGTTTTGTATCAGCTGCAAAGTTGAATAAAAGATGCATTTTTCATTGAAGTACCCATTTTTCTTTTGTTTATCATTTTCCACTTAACTAAAGCAACTTTATGCTATTTTTAAGAAAAAGTGAATAACTATTCGATTAGTCGACTAATCGTTTCAATAGTCGGTGACTAGTCGACTATTAAAATAGTTGTTAGTTGCAGCCCTAGGGCAAACCTGCAAAATCAGCAAGGGGTCAAATACTTATTTCCCCCACTGTATGTAGAGGGTTTAATATTTGATGTTTTCCTGCTTTGCAAGAAAGTTCAATATAAAATAAAAATAAAAATAAAACATTATTTAAAAAAATGGTGGCCCGTTTAGTCCCTCATGCTTTGCTAGCAGGTTCTCTGACCGGTCCGGACCTGAAGTCGTGTGTTCATCTCCAGGAAGTAGAAGTTTTTCTTGGAGTCCACCAGGAACTCCACGGTGCCAGCAGAGGAATATTGCACGGCTTTGGCCAGCTGCACGGCCTGCTCCCCCATGGCCCGCCGGGTGGTCGGGTCCAGAAATGTGCTGTGGACGACAACACCGGGTCAGTGGGAGGGGCTTCAATCCAGCAAAGTCTACCACTTCATTTTTACTGGAACCACTAAACCAGTGTTTTTCAACCTTTTTTGAGCCAAGGTACATTTTTTCATTGAAATAATCACGAGGCACACCACCAACCAAAAATGTCAAACAAATATGTAGCCGCCTATAGTAACACTATAGTTATTTTATCTTATCTTAAGTGTCTTGAATAGGAATCATAGTAACACTATTGTTATTCCTATCTTATCAAGTAATCGACATTTCGTTGTCAAGATTCACCTTGTTGTTTGTGCAATGACAATAAAGGAAGTCTAAGTCTAAGTCTAAGTCTTATCTTAAGTGTCTTGAATAGGAATCAAATAAACACAAAAAATGTATTTTTAGCATATTTTATATTTCGTCTTTCAAATTGCTCTTAACATGTCCACTTCAATATACAAAATTATATACAAAATCTAGTCATAAGGAATTATTACATGATTACTCCACCAGTCACTAGAACAGCACAGACACTCAAAAATGGAATATTATTTGCAGATAATTAATTCCTTATCAAAAAATCTTTTTAGACCAATGAGATGAAATAGGATGATTTTTTTACGGCACACCTGATCATCACTAACGGCACACTAGTGTACCGAGGACCAGTGGTTGAAAAACACTGCACTAAACGCTACTCATCCAGAGTGATAAGTTCCCTCCTGTGGAGCAGTATAGACAGTTTAGGTTATTTGTTCTTCTTTCTAGAGTCGATTTGCAGCAGAAACCCTTAAAGGGTTAGGATTAGGGCTTGTGGAGATCTTATCTGATGGAGATTTTCTTCTGGTTACATCCCCAGGCCCTCTTTCATAACTTCCTCTCCAGTTTGTTGTTTAAACACAGAGGCTTCATCTCTCCAGGGACATCGAGGCCAACATACCACACAAAAGACTAAATAACTAATAACTAAAAAGAACAACAGGCTAAACTATGAGCAGAAGAGCTACAAACCTACCTTCCACATAGGAGGCCAGCACAACAAATGCTACAGTAAAATAGTGGCAGCCCTCCCCTTAACTCAAGAGCCACAGAATAGTTTGTGCTATGACTATGTAAACACCGAAC